CCGAGCCTGGCTCTTTTTTTTTTTTTGAGTTGGAGCTTCACTGTCACCCAGACTGGAGTGCAGTGGCATATTCACAGCCACCACAGCCTCGACCTGCTGGGCTCAGGCAATCCTTCTGCCTCAGCTTCCCAAGTAGCCAGGACTACGGGTGTGTGCTACCACACCTGCTAATTTTTTAATTTATTGTAGAGACGAGCTCTCGTCAAGTTGTCCAGGCTGGTCTTGAACCCCTGAGCTCAGGCAATCCTCTCACCTCGGCCTCCCAAAGTTCTGGGATTACAGAATTGAGCCACTGCACCCAGCCAAAACCATGTTCTTATAAAACTTTATTTACAACGACAGGTGATGGGCTAGGTTTGGCCTACAGGCTGTAGTCTGCCCACCTTGGTTTAGCAAATCACACATCGGCCTGCAAGGTTAGTGCATGGGTTTGACTCTCTTGCCCACATGTGTGCTGCCTCCTTTGGGTGCGGGACAGGACTGAGGTGCGTGGAGTAGATACTGCCCATTGAAGAGGTAAGTGAAGAAAACCTAGAAAGCACAGTGGAAGCTACGTACCCAACCCTTCTTACCATTCAGATAGTGTTGAAACCAAGGCATCGTCACCCAGGCAGAACGGAGCTTTCCTAGCTTAGCTCGAAGGCGAAGTGTGACCTTGAAATCCATCTGGAAGCCCTTGGAGAGGCCAGCCGCAGTGAAGTCACACTTGGTTGCCGCGATCTGGGTACAGTTCACTCCTACAGACTTAACATCCACATTTGACCACTCGCTGTCCGTGCTGAAAGAAAAACAGGATTTTAATTCATGAAATCTCTCCTCTTCATGCTTAACAGTTTCCCCAGAGCTGATATGTATTTACTTTTTTTTTTTTTTTTTGAGGGAAAAGGGTTTTATTCTGATACTCAGCCTGGAGTACAGTAGCACGATCATGGTTAAATGCAGCCTCCAAATCCTGGGCTCAAGTGATTCTCCTGCCTCCGTCTCCTGAGTAGCTGGAACTACAGGTGCATGCCACCATACCTGGCTAACTTTTTTTTTTTTTTGAGTTAGATTCTGTCTTTGTTGCCCAGGCTGGAGTCCAGTGGCATGCTCACAGCCACCCCAGCGTCAGCCTGCTGAGCTCAGGCGATCCTTCCACCTCAGCCTTCTAAGTAGCTGGAACTACAGGCACGTGCCACTGTGCCTGGCTAAGTTGTTCAGGCTGGTCTCCCAAAGTGCTGGGATTACAGGAATGAGCCACTGCACCTAGCGGGTGATCTCTTTTTAAGCTATACAGTCACTTAAAGACACCTTAACACCCGCCCCCTGCCCCCTCAACCCTGCCAGGCTTCCAGAGCAACATGAAGGGCCTTCCTCAGATGCAGTGCAGGGCCTGCTTTCTGCCACCCCAGCCACTTCTTAGTCTCACTCTGTAACCCAGGCTGGAGTGCAGTGGCAAGCTCACAGCCACCATAGCCTTGACCTGCTAGTCTCAGGCGATTCTTCTGCTTCAGCCTTCCAAGAAGCTGAAACTACAGGTGTAAGCCACCATGCCTGGCTAATTTTTTTTTTGAGTTGGAGTCTCACTCCGTCGCCCAGACTGGAGTGCAGTGGCCGCTTCCGGCCACCGCAGCCTCGACCTGCTGGGCTCCAGTGATCCTTTCGCCTCAGCCTTCTGAGTAGCCAGAACTACAGGCGTGTGCTACCACACCCAGCTGATTTTTTGATTTATTGTAGAGATGAGGTCTCGCCAAGTTGCCCAGGCGGGTCTCGAACCCACCGGTTCAGGCAATCCACTCACCTCAGGCTCCCAAAGCGCTGGGATTACAGGCTGAGCCACCGAGCCTGGCTACCTGGCTAATTTTTTAAAAATTTATTATAGAGACGAGGTCTCGCCAAGCTGTCCAGCTGGTCTCAAATGCCAGGACTCAGACAACCTTCCTGCCTCCACCTCCCAAAGTGCTGGGATTACAGGCGTAAGCCACTGCGCCTGGCCCACCCTGGGCACTTTCATGGCTCAATCTGTCCCTAGGACTCAAGCAGTCTGTCCAGCCTCTGCTAGGTCACTTCCAAAAACATTAAGTAAGCTCATCTCCTTTGACCCAGTAAGCCCTCTTCTAGAAATGCATGAAAATAAGCAAGAAGACTCATGTACGAGGATGTACGTGTTACAGTCACTAGCTGGCAACTATCTATGCCCGTGAATGGGGAAAACTTAAACACAGCATGTGTGATGCTACATATAATAAACCATACAAGGCCGGGTGTGGTGGCTCATGCCTATAATTCCAGCACTTTGAGAGGCCAAGGTCAGAGGATTGCCTGAGTCCACGGGTTCCAGACCAGCCCAGACAACTTGGCAAGACCTCATCTCTACAATAAATAAAAAAATTAGCTGGGCATGGTGGCGCGTGCCTGTAGTTCCAGCTACTTGGAAGGCTGAGGCGGAAGGACCTGAGCCCAGCAGGTTGAGGCTGCGGTGGCCATGAGCATGCCACTGCACTCCAGTCTGGGCACAGAGTGAGACTCTGACTCAAAAAGAAAAAAAGGGCTGGGCTCAGTGGCTCAGCCTGTAATCCCAGCACTTTGGGAGGCCAAGGCAAGTGGATTGCCTGAGTCCGTGGGTTTGAGACCAGCCCAGGCAACTTGGCGAGACCTCATCTCTATAATAAATCAAAAATTAGCCAGGCATAGTAGTGTGTGCCTGACATTCTGGCTACTTGGAAGGCTGAGGCAGAAGGATCGCTGGAGCCCAGTAGGTTGATGCTGGGGTGGCCATGAGTGTGCCATTGCACTCCAGCCTGAGTGACAGAGTAAGATGCCAACTGAAAAAAACCAAAAAACCATACAAAACAATGATCACACAGAAATAATTATATGAAAAAAATGCTCACATGCTTAACTATTAAGTTAAAATTTTAAAAAAGGGAAATAAAACCTCAAAATGTAGACTGGGTGTGGTGGCTTGTCTGTAATTCCAATACTTTGGGAGTAGAGATGGGAGGATTGCCTGAGACCAGGAGTTTGAGACCAGCTTTGGTAATATAGAGAGAACTTATCTTTACAAAAAATATAAAATATTAGCCAGTTGTGGTGGTGTGCGCCTATAGTCCCAGTTATTCTGAAGGCTGAGGGGCAAGGTTCACTGGAGCCCGAGAGTTGGAGGCTGTGGTGAACTAGTAATCACGCTACTGCACTCCAACCACTCTAGCCTGGGCAACAGAGTGAGATCCCAACTCAAAAAAAAAAAAGGGTGACCCAGTTTTGTTTCTTGATTCAATTTTATTTGTTTTATACATAAACTTTTTTTTTTTGAGTTGGAGTCTCACTCTGTCACCCAGGCTGGAGTGCAGTGGCACACTCACAGCTATCACTGCTACAACCTGCTGGGCTCAGGCGATCCTTCTGCCTCAGCCTTCCAAATAGCTGGAACTACAGGCACGTATCACCATGCCTGGCTAATTTTTTGAAATTATTTATTGTAGAGACAAGGTCTCGCCAAGTTGCCCAGGCTAGTCTCAAACCCCTGGACTCAGGCAATCATCTCACCTCGGCCTCCCAAAGTGCTGGGATTACAGGCATGAGCCACTGCACCCAGCCTACACACACACATTTTCAAACAAATGCACTTATTTAGGAAAAAAGTCTAGAGATAAATACACTAAAATAAGAATAGTAATTATTCTTGGAGTATAGAACAATAGATTATTTTAATTTGAGGCTTTTTATGTTTCTGGGTTTGCTACATTTTCTATAAAGAACATGGACTGCTATCCAAATCAGAAAAAAAAAAGAAAATTTAAAAAATATTTTCCGCTGGGCGTTGTCAGCTCACACCTGTAATTCCAGCACTTTGGGAAGCCGAGGTGAGAGGATTGCCTGAGTCCAGGGGTTTGGGACCAGCCTGGGCAAAGATCTCGTCTCTAAAATAAATAAAAAAATTAGCCAGACGTGGTAGCACGTGCCCATAGTTCTAGCTACTTGGAAGGTTGAGGCAGAAGGATTGCCTGAGTCTAGCAGGTTGAGGCTGTGGTAGCTGTGAGTGTGCCACTGCACTCCAGCCTGGGCAACAGAGTGAAAATCTGATTAAAAAAATAATAAATAATAAATAAATAAATTCTTGCACAAAGTGCTCCATGTAATTTTGGATTTGCTACTGTGACTATCAAGAAAATAAAGGCACTTTCGTTTATAATCATAATCATGCTTTACCATAGAGAAACAGGATGGACATTTAAGTCCCACAAGCCTCAAAATTGATTTAAAAAGACCCCAACACATTCAAATATCTAAAAATAAGCTGGGTGCAGCAGTTTATGCCTGTAATCACAGCACTTTGGGAGTTGGAGGCGAGTGAATTGCCTGAGCCCGGGGGTTTGAGACCAGTCTGGGCAATTTGGTGAGACTTGAGATTTGAGTCGGAGTCTCACTCTGTCACCTAGGCTAGAGTACAGTGGCACAAACATGGTCATCACAGCCTTGACCTCTTAGGCTCAGGCTCTCCTCAGCCTCCTGAGTAGCCGGAACTACAGGTGTGTGCCACTATGATGGGCTAATATTTTTGATTTATTGTAGAGACAAGGTCTTGTACCCCTTGGCTCAGACAATCCTCACTTCTGCCTCCCAAAGTTCTGAGATTACAGGAGTGAGCCATCACGCCTGGCTAATTAAAAAAATTTTTTTTGTGGCGACAAGGTCTCGCTATGTTGCCTGGGCTAGTCGTGAACTCCTGGGCTTAAGCAATCCTCCTGTCTTGACCTCAGGAGTGCTGGAATTATAGGTGTGAGCCACTGCACCCAATCTCTGTCAAAGGTTTTTTTTACAAAAAAATTCAATACAGTTTTTTCTAATTATTTAGAGGCAACTTCTCTGTCAACCCACAAACATAGTTCCCTGTTCAAGGCTGAGGAATGCTAAGCCTAGAAGTCGTTATCAAGGCTAAGTCAACACATCAGTGTGATGTATCTCACTGAGAGCTTCTTGTTTAGCCCTGGGGTGTTATGTTGACCGAATGCTGAGTGTAAGGCCAACTTCATGGCCCATGACCTGTGCAGTCACACCAGGAAACTGGGTTTGATGCTCTGCAGTCGCCATCTTAACATTCTTAAACTTTTTGAACAAGCAGCCCCACGTTTTCATTTTGCATGGGGCCCTGCGAACAGTGTAGCCAGTTCTAGTCACTGCTCCATTTATCACAGATGATTTGATGTTGGTAATTGATCATCACTGGGGGAATTTACCAGAGGCAGGAGGTGCTGGGATTGCAGGCATGAGCCAACATGCCAGCCTTTGTGGGAGAATTTAAAGTTGAAATTAGGCCGGGCTCAGTGGCTCAGTCTGTAATCCCAGCACTTTGGGAGGCCGAGGTGAGTGGATTGCCTAAGCCTGCAGGTTCAAGACCCGCCTGGGCAACTTGGCAAGACCTCATCTTTACCATAAATCAAAAATTAGCCGGGCGTGGTAGCGCGTACCTGTAGTGCCAGCTACTTGGAAGGCTGAGGCAGAAGGATCGCCAGAGCCCAGTAGGGTGAGGCTGCGGTGGCCGGGAGCGGCCACTGTACTCCAGTCTGGGCGACAGAGTGAGACTC